AGAGAGAGAGAGAGAGAGAGAGAGAGAGAGAGAGAGAGAGAGAGAGAGAGAGAGAGAGAGAGAGAGAGTTTGTATGTATGCATGGTTATTCTGTGCTATGATAAACGAGTGTCATGAGAACTGAGAGTTTAATGATGCGCAATTCTTTTTTTATTTTTTATTTTTTTTGAAAGGCTTCCCCGGCCAGTGCTTGGGATGCTGATAAGAGCAGGCTACCACTCCCGAGGAGGCTCCATCTATTGGTGGGGAGAAGCACCTGCTGGAAAACGGGTCCAGCGTCCCATAAATTGAGAAATGGTCAAAATTACAAGAAGAAGAAGAAGAAGAAGAAGAAGAAGAAGAAGCTAGCGATGCCCTGAAGGGTTCTCCTTTTGGTTTCGCAAAAGAAAGCTCAATTTCAAGGTACTCAAGTTTAGACAGAGTTTGAACTCAAGGTACTCAACTCTAGGAGGAGTTTGAAACTATAGGTACTCAACTTTAGACAGAATTTGAACTCAAGCTCAAGGTACTCAACGTCAATTTCGGGGTACTCAAGTTTAGACAGAGTTCGAACTCATGGTACTCAACTGTAGACAGAGTTCGAACTTAAGGTACTCAACTTTAGACCCAGTTTTTTTTNTCATGGTACTCAACTGTAGACAGAGTTCGAACTTAAGGTACTCAACTTTAGACCCAGTTTTTTTTCACTCAAGGTACTTGACTCTGGACATTGGGTTTGAACTTAAGGTACTCAAGTTTAAACTGAGTTTGAACTCAAGGTACTCAACTGTAAAGTTTAAACTGAGTATGAAATCCACGCGTACTCAACTCTAGACTGAGTTTGAACTCAACTTACTCTTTAACTTCACAAACTCCATGTTTGTCAGTTGGCTGAAGAGTCTCCCGACACTTCGGACTCAGTTGCTAGGATGAATCATGCAGCAGCGAACTGAGTCGAATAGATTGGAGCCTTTTTGTTAAATTAAAAAAATATATATATATTAAAAAAAAGAGTTCAAAGCAGACCATGTACCTTGAATTCTAAAACTTGCTAATAATCTGCAGCGAAATATGTCCTCTGCAAGCAAGATGAGCAATAGCGAACTTCAGAAATCAAACAGCATCATCATACACATGAGACCAGATAGTCGTGACCTCGAACCAATACCAGAATTGCATCACGAGTTTCACCAAATAAGAGCACAGCAAAAGCTCATAATTGACAATGCTGAATAATCTCATCATCATCAACGAAGAACCAATGTTGCTATCCTATCTGGCGCTCGGCGCCAAGACTACAGATGGCAGATCCTGTCTAGCCTACTCTACGATGCCGCTGATGACGTCAACAGCTCCCCGAAGTACGAGGAGATCTCGGCCAATGCCGTACGCTTCAAGCACCAGGTATGTCTCTCGTATCACTCACAACCTCGTTCCCCAACTCACAGATGCCACATGCACCCAAGAACCACCATGCGCCCCATCCAGCATACAGCAGCGCAGCTCGGCTATGGCTGCCTGCTCCTTCCAGCTCCCCCGTGAGCGCGTGAGCGCTGGCCAGCGTTAGCGCAGCAGCGCTTGCGCAGCATGCAGCTAATGCCCGAATGCCAAATGCGTGGGCAGGCCCTTTCCTAAATGGAAGCGGCCTGCCTGCCTTGCGTGCAGCCTGGCTGCGCTGGGCCCCTTCCCAGAAGCTTCTGGTAGGCCCACAGAGGCTGAGCGCCAGTCCAAACGAATCAGGCCCAGGGCCTGTGACAGTTACCTGTGCCCAACTGCCTACAGTCTGAGTTGGGTCCATGCTGTGTATCTCGCCCAGGGCCTGGGCGCTTTCAATGAACTGGCGCTTTCAAGCAACTGCCTGAATTTTCCCCAGTTGCGTGGTGACCCAAAAATGGTCTGTAGGCCTCGGTCGAGCCTGCCTTCACTTAGGGCGGCCGACTATGCTGAAGATAGGGCCCAGTAGGGCGTATCGAGGCCTTGTGCCTCGCACCTCGGGGATCCGTTAAAATCGGCGTGATACAGAGAAGATCGACCTGGCCCCTGCACGAGGATGACGCGCGTAAATTCGGAAATGGTCCAACCTTTTTACCACCTGGGCTAGCTCAGTTGGTACACCCTGAACCGTTGAAATACAGACGTTAGTTCGAA